GCGGGCTCCCCTGGCCTGCGGGGCCCCCAGCTCCCGGGCGCGGGGAGCGGAGCCGTGGCTGGTGCGCGGGTGCACGTGCAGCCCTCTGGCCCCCCGGGTCGATGGGGGATCTGTGTGCGTGCTTCAGCCCTTATCCTTGACCTGCCAAAAAACTTGGGGGTGTGCGTTGTATTCTGTGGACAGAAAACCCGATTCGGGGGCGTGAGTGAATTTTATAATTACTGAAGAAATTAACGTGTGGGTCTTTCATGACAATTAAACACTTATTTTAAACAGGAATTTTATGGAGAAAATATAAAAGAGTCTCCTGACTACGAGAGGATCATCAACCTCCGCCACTTTAAGAGGATTCTGAGTTTGCTGGAAGGACAGAAGGTGGCGTTCGGCGGGGAGACCGACGAGGCCACGCGCTACATAGGTGACGGGAGCCTGCTTGCTCGGGGTGGGGGGGCACTTCCACAGGTTCGTTGACACTGGTTACTGACCCTAAACAAACTACCAGACGTGGAGTGTTTAACGCTGCTTTCTGGTCTGCTGCTTCCTTGTAAACCGTGCAGAGAGGAGTTTATGTGCATGTGTAATGATTGCACCTCTGTTGCACCTGCCATTGATATTCACACACATGCTTTATCTCGCTTTTTCCTTCCTGGCAGCCTTGAGAAGCAGAACTAAGCTGTGTCATTATTTCCAGTTTCGGGCTGGGGAAAGGGCTCAGGGAAGGAGGCAGCTCGGCCACGACCCTACAGCTGGCAGGGGCAGTTCCCGTCCAGAAGCACCGTGCTCCCCTGTCACGCTCGGCCCCATTGCGTGTTTACTGTCTTTGTCATTTTTATCTTTAGCCCTGAGTAAGCAGTGCTTCTAAATCTTAAACACGCTTACCTAAAGTAACATACGAGGGGACAGAAGAATCACACACAGCTGGGAAAGCGTCTCTGTGTCTCTCTGCTTGCCCTGTCTTATCAGAGGATGCACACGTCACGAAAAATCCCCGCTTCTGAAAAGCAAACTTAAAGGACGTAGATTGCGTGGAGAAGCGTGAGGAGCAGTCCCAGAGTGCTCCTGGGAGTCAGTTCAGTGGCTCAGTCACACCCTCAGGACCCCCATTCTTTTATCTTGTGTCCTACCGTCCTCCACACGTGGACTCTGCCCCCATCTCCGCTGGTCAGTGGCCAGAGGTCTGTCATGATCAGCTCAGACCAGCTGGGGACTTTCCCCTGACCTGGGGTCCGGGTCCTCTACACGTGGCTGTGTAGAGTGGGATGGACACCCAGACCATCTTGGTCCTCCAACCCAGGGATGCAGCAGGCAGTGCGCTTGGGGGAGCAGCTGTGCACCCCCGGAGTGTGCTGGAAGGAGCCGTGCTCCGCCACGTGGCCAGGCCAACCTAGTAGAAGAGCGAGGGCGAGCAGAGCAGGCTTGGTGTCGGGTGTCCTCTCCTGCCATTGAACGCCCGCCCGTCTACAGGGGCCTCTCTGCACACTGCGGCTTGGGGGCGCCCTTGGTGTGGACGCTGGAGCTCTGCAGAGCTCTTGCGCATCCGTGCGGCCCTCCTCTGTCGCTTCCCCACAGTGCATGGAGCGCTGAGCTAAGGCCTGGGGGACCCCACCCTTTAACTGTTTTCCAAACTTGGCAGAGCTCTGGTACAGTTCAGAGAGCTCATATGCAGGAAAGCACTTGAATTAAGAAGTGTCGGCTGGACCCACAGAGGGACTGTCTGCCTCCCAGAAAGACCCGTCCACGGAAAGATGTAACCTCATGCACCTGTCAACGTGCGAGGGTGGCGCTGACAGGCTGAAACACGAACAGGACTTACTCTCGTCTGTGTCTCTGCCTTGGTTTCCACAGGGACCCCCGGTGCACGTGCTGGGAGATGTGGACTGTGCACGGCTCTTCTGCGCTCTTGGACTCTGTTCAGCAGACGACACTTGGGTGGGAGTGGGAGGGAGCTGTGGTGACCCAGCGAGGCAGAGCTGCCTGAGGGCTGGCCTGTCTCTCTTCTCCATCAGTGCTTTCGTTTTGCTTGTTTCTTTTCAGCCCCAACAATACTCACTGACGTTGATCCTGGAAGCAAAGTGATGCAGGAAGAAATTTTTGGACCAGTTCTTCCGATAGTGCCCGTGAAGAGCGCCGAGGAGGCCGTGCGGTTCATCAATGAGCGGGAGAAGCCCCTGGCTCTCTACATATTTTCTCAGGACAATAAGGTAAACTTCGCAGCGGACAGGTGGCTCGCTGTCATGAGCCACGATCAGAAATCGTGCTTTCTTTGCCGTAAAGCACATGGTGATTGTTTCTGTGACGCTGGAGGCCCGCCAGCGAGGCTGTTCTCCCGGAGCACCGCCTTGGGTAACGAGGCCCTGGGGTTTTCGCCGTAACCGCTCCCACACTCCCTGGGGCGAGAGCCGAGTCTTCAGCGTAAATGTCACAAGTCTTACGACCCTAACACCCCCTGGTACTTGGGAGACTTTCACAGGCCCAGACGAGAAGCCCTTCTGCTGTGAACCACAAACCCTTCCTGCGGAAGAGCCGTGCCCTCACCCCGTGGTGTCCACGCCCCCCCGGCGGGGCTGTGCGGGTCAGAGATCACCTGCACCGCTGTGGAAGCGGTCGTGAGGGCTCGGACTCGAGTTTCCACAGCTGCCTTACCTTGTTGTTGGAGCGGTGGCCACACCACGTCACACCGGGCCGAGCAGCCCTTCCTCCCCTCTGTGTGGCTTGCTCATCCGTACCCGAGGTGACTGGCTGCTGCGAAGGGACAGTGGCCTCACAGGGGGCCAGTAGGTACCGGAGTCCCCTGAAGAAAGGGGAAAACTCAGAGCGGAAGGTGCGGCCAGGCAGGGTCTGAGGAGTCCCCAAATGATGGGTTTCCTGCAGAGCCTCCGATGGCAACGTGCAGGTGGGCGTGGCAGCTTGTAGAGCGCGGTGCTGGCGGGACCCGGCTCTCAGGCCCGCCAGGTGAGACGAGCATGTGGGGCTCAGTTCAGAACAGGTCAGTAACGCAGCGGTCCGACAGTTTAAATGCCCAGAGAGAGCAGTGGGGGGGACGTGCAGTGCCACAGTCAGCGGTGGCATTCACTACGAAGGACTCTCAGCTGGTTGGTGGCAGGGGATGTGACGTTTACCAGTCAGGTGTCGTTGCACCTCTTTGGGTCTTGGGCCAACCAACAGTTTTCTTCAAAAACAGGATGCCAAATCTGAAACTGGAAATATTTTTCACTTTCAATAAACATGAAATGGTATCTGTTAATCATGTGCTGTCATTTAGGGCAGAGATAGAAAAATACTAACATTTTTAAAAACCAGAGTGTAGTCTGAACTGTCCCTGATCAGATGGCTGCAGCCGTGGCCTCCCTCCAGGGACTGGACGGGCATCCGAGCATCAGCTATCCATCACGGTCACTGAACGGACCAACTGTAGGTCCCTGGTGTTGGGCTAGCTGCCCCCAGCCTGGAGGGGGCCGCAGGCCTCGAGCCAGGACTGCGTTCTGTTCTGTCCCCAGCTCACCAAGTGGCTGATCGACCACACGTCCAGCGGGGGTGTCACCGGCAACGACGTGATCATGCACTTCATGCTCAGCTCCCTGCCCTTCGGAGGAGTGGGTGAGTGCCCCCGGTCCGGCCCCCCGACCGCCTGCACAGCGCACCACCCCTCACGCAGACATCAGGTGTCACATGAGTTGATGAGCTTCCTCTTTTTTTTTTCTAACGGGGACTGAGTGACAGGCTCACCTGCCTGGAGCTGACAGAAGCCGAGGCTTCTGCTGTCCCTCTGCTGGCTGCTCGGTGCCCACCGCGCCACCCCCAGCCCTCCACCGGGAGCGGCTGCTCCTTGAACTGTTGCACAGCTGAGGAGAGCAGGGCTCCCCGTGCTCTCGGGAGGCCGGGCAGGAGGAGAGTCGTTCTTGTGAAGCTCAGGGACACAGCCTGGTGCCCACTGCCCCCTCTCAGCTGTGACCTGTCTTCCTCTCACCCCCGAGATGATTGATACAACTTCTTTTCTTTCCTTCAGGCCATAAGGTGGTAGACTTGTTTGTTATCTAATAGAGATATTCCAAAATAACAAACACATCAAAGTTCTCACAACAAGAAGCAACCGGTATAAAAGCTTCCATCTTAAAAGCTCCTGCTTCAACTCTCCCTCTGTGTTGCACAAACGATCACTCGCTGGGGGTGGGGTGGCCCAGTGTAGCAGGACCACCTGCTCCTGATGGAGGCAGGCCTGTCCCCTGGTTCCCCTGGTAGCCACGTGTCCCTTCCGGGAATGTGAACATACTGCCAGCGTCTGGCCCTGTGCTGGCATGTGTAGGGGCAGGGGAGCTGGCAGGTGCAGGGACAGGGCAGGACCAGGCTGGAGCTGGCGATGCAGGGAGTGGAGACTGAAAGGAAGGAAGGTTGGTGGGGTGGGGGCTGGAGCGGCCATCATCCTGCTGCCCCGATACTTAAAGGATTAGACTCTGCCGCCCCGAACCCACCTCACCTCACCACTGCTGCACTGGGGCTCCCACAGGCACGTCCAGTGACTCTCCTCCGTCACCAGGAGGCTTGTGGCAGCATTGCCGTAGCCTCTCCTCTGACAGAACACACCTTGTTCCCTGAAATGCAGAAGGAATATAGCCTTTTTAAGAAAACTTGGCAAAGATGGAAGAGCCCAAAGGGTAAACGCACAGGTCGCCCGCACCCTGCTAGCTGAAGGTCACCCCTCTCCCTCGGGCGTGCGGAGTGGTGCGGCATTCCCGCGCCAGCATGCTTGTGTCTCCGTCGTCCTGGCTACTCACTGTGCCAGTGTGAACGCGGCACATTTGCTTGACTTCATTCCTGTGTTGTTTTTTTGCAATTTCAGGGGCTTTGAGGGGGTTTATTATGATTCTAATATATTTGGAGGCAATTTCTGACCATTCCCTTAGGAAAAGCGTCTAGAAATATAATTGCTGTACATGTTTTAAATGAAGTACATTTTTACTCTCATTCCAAAAGTAATACAGGCCTCTTGGGTAAGGGGGCAAAACAGGACTGAAAGGCATAAGGAAATGTGGTGCCACCCTGCCCAGGCGTGTGCACGAGTAATACTTTGGCACTTAGTTTAGTTTTTCTTTGACGTGCTTATATTTGATACACATTGCCAAGCTTCCCTGCGGCTTCAGCTGTCCCGTAACGGATGCACCAGAGCCCAGGCCCCGTGCACACCGCGGAGCAGAGGAGTGAGCCTGCCCCAGGCACAGCTTTCCAGCGGGCTGGGCTCCACCCACGTGTGGCCCGCACCCCGGGCTGGGTTACTTCCCCGGAGCCCGGAGGGGAGGGAGCCGTGGCCCAGCCACGTGTGACGGTGGGGAAGGGCACACGCAGCCCTCAGGGTCGGACTGGCCTGGGCTCACGTTCAGACTTTGCACTCTTCACCCTGGGCAGGTCACCTGACCCTGCCCAGCCCCCTTTCCACTCAGGAGTCGGGGTGACGATGCTGTGTGCAGCGGGGTGGGGGGACGGTGAGCCTGGGCCGGCACAGCGATGGGGACCCAGGGAGCTGCGGCCCCTGTGACGGGGTCACCTCGCCGGGGTGCGGGGAGGTTGTGCAGGGCTGGAGGAGTCAGTGGCCGGCCGTGGCGCTTACACCCACAGTGGAGCCTGTCCCCTCTGTTCCCTCGTTGCAGGTTCCAGCGGGATGGGAGCTTATCACGGGAAGTACAGCTTCGATACCTTTTCTCATCAGCGTCCCTGTTTATTAAAAAGCTTAAAGAGAGAAGGTGCTAACAAACTCAGATACCCTCCCAACAGCCCGTCGAAGGTGGACTGGGCAAAGTTCTTCTTGTTGAGACGGTTCAGCAGAGGGAAGCTGCGCCTCCTGTTACTCACACTCCTGGGCGTCCTGGTGGCCGTGCTCATCAAGGTGAGTCCCGGGGCTGCCGGCCGCGTCTCTTCTGTCTCAGGGGTGCCTCTGCTTTTATAAGTCAGCTCTCTCCTGCTGCCTCTCGGGCCGGTGAGCTGCAGCCTGCCGGCCAGCCCCAAGCCCTGGGAGCGTCTCTGGGCTTCTGTCCCCAGCGGCAGAGCCAAGCCCTGCGGCCCAGCAGCCTGGTCCCCGGGAGCCGCGTGCGGCCCCAGGCTGAGCGTTTCTGCCCTGGAGGCCGCGCCTGCGGGACTCTGAGCATCCTGCACTGCTGGTGTCTGTTTCAGTTTTGCTCTTTAACGTGCATGAACCCACAGGCCGCGCCGTGGACGGGAGGCTGCTGGTGACAGGCGCGGTGGGGACGCAGCTTTGGCAGAAGCAGCTTGAATGTTTTTCCTCTCAAGTTGATGGCCACGTCGAGCTTGTCTTTGTGCCCGGACGTGGGCAGGCCGCGAGGCCCTCGAGACACCTGGTGTCCCCAGGACTACTGGCGGCCTCGTGGCTTGGAGAACGCCCTGGGTGACGGCAGCTGAGATGAGGTGGGGGCGGTGGTGCCCTTGGAGCTCCCGGCCAGCCAGCGAGACACGCGGAGGATTCTGATGACGTCCGTGAACAACAGGCTTGGGAGAGAAGCGAGATCCAAGCAGTTAATGCGAACAGCTGTTTATCTCGTATTCTGTTTAAAATCTGGATGGAGGTTGGCTCACCCTGCAGTTATTACAGCTTTGGTGGAACCAGAGGTCCCAGTTGCATTTGAAGTCCCTTGGGTTTTCTCAGAATTACCAGTCTGAGCTGCAGAGAAGGGCCCTGGTGACTTTCCTGGTGGTTCACAGACGGGGCCGCCCGCCGGGTACTGTCAGCCCAGCTCCATCTGCTGAGAGGAGGTGGGGCTCCTGCCTCCCTCGCTTCTGTGACGTGGGCCCACGGGGGGGCACGCTTCCTTCTAGTTGTTTGCTCGTGTACGCTGGGAGGCTTACAGCTTATTGAGAAAAGGGTGTTTACCTTGCTTGTCAGACATCTGGGACCTGGGCCTGGAAGGAGTGTTAAAGGTTAGCCACGGCTTTTCAGGGTGAGGTGGGTTGCTGGAATCCTGAGAAATGTGCAGGCACAATGGCTGGGTCCGGGCAAAGCGCAGCTCACTTCCAGAAACGGACAGTCACGTGTGCACCAGCCGTCCTGGGGGAAGTGCTCGCTGGCCCGTTCAGACCTAGTCTCCATTCTGTTTCATAATTTGAGGATAATCATAAAAAACTCTAAGTCACTTTCTGTTTTGTTTTGGTTTTTAAGAACAGTTCAACTTTAGAGCTCATGTAGCAAACTTAGTGAATCAGAACATGTGGGATTTAGAATTTTCTGTTCTTTTTGCTGCGCCTTCCTGAGAGGAGGGGTGTGCTTGGGTCGCTGGTCACTATCTGCCTGTCTTGCTCTTTTCCTAAGACATTGGTCTCAGGCATCTTCTTGGTCAGGATGGAATTTCTCAGCCTCCTGGAAAACTCAGTGGTCCAGGCAGGCGTGCTCCGCAGACTGGCCACGTTCCCAGGAAGGCCCCGCAGGTGACGCCCATGCCAACGGGGGGCAGATGGCCTGCCCAGAGTCCCCGAAAGGGTTTGGCAGACAAGCCTTTCTCTGTTAGTGTCTGGGAAGTAGCAGCCTATAAAAACAAGAAAATACAGCTCTGAGGCTGACCTAATTATGGCTGTGGGCAGGGCCTGTTCCGAGGCCACGGCCGGCCGCAGCCCGCCCCTCTGCGGAGGAGGGCATGGGCACCCGGTGCCCGGCCGGCTCCCTGCCCCCCTTGCTGCTGCGGCGGTTTGGGCTCAGTGTGAGGCGAAGACAGGTCTGGGGTTCTCCTCTCCGCTGCTGCTCCGCGCTTCTCTCTGCACCCCTGTGCTCTTCTGATCGAATCGCCTTTAAAGGAAACGAACCTAAATTGAACATTTACTTGAGGAATTTTTATTGGTTATAACTGCAAACAGTTTTCTGTAATTGCTTTTCTGCTCTTAGTTACTTAGTTTTGTGCTTGGATGTGATTTTAGTAGTTCAGTTTACCAGAACTGGAATGGCTTTGGAACATTTTAAAATGGGAAATTGAAAGCAGCGATGATCAGTCTAAAGGTAGCACGTTAGAATCTGAGCAGAGGAGTTTTCTGTGTGCTTTTGAAAGTACAAAACAGCAAGGTCCACTGTCTGACCTACAGTGGAAAAAGTATAAAGGGAGCATCTGCGTATGTATGTGCACAACTGAACCACTGCGCCGCACACCAGAGGTTAACACAGCATTGCAGATAGACTGTACTCCAGTAAAAAGTAAATAAACGTATACACAGAAAGAAAGTAGGCTCCAGTGAAGCCTGTCGTAAGCTGCAGGAGGCACCGTGCGGGTTTTAAAACGCTGAGGAACATTAAGGTTTAAAATGGATAAATGTCACACGACCTTGGAAAATTAAATACGACCTTTGAACTCAGGTTGTGGCTCGCCTCTTCAGCCTCGGGGGGTTTCAGTTAAATTCATTGCTACTTGGAAATTTGAGAAGCAGAATTTTGTATCAGTTTTCAGATTTCATGTGGAAACTTGAACCTCCTGCTTAACAATGCCAAGACAGTGAAAAAGTATTCTCAATCCTGTCCCCACTCTGACGGCGCTCCTTGGCGCCGGCCAGACCCCGACCAGCCCCACCTGCCTTGTTGCTGTTGTCGGGGGCACAGGGGGCGGTGCAGTCTCTCCTCCTCAGCCCACCCCACCCCACTTAGACTCCTTAGGGACCCATGGGCTGTGTTTCTCCAGCGCATTTAGAGTCTCTTAGGATGGGATGTGTTTGTCAGAGTCCCGATAGTGGGCTCGTTTCCAGGGCTGGCTGGGTGGGTTTTTAAACCAGCATAGTAACCTGGATTCCTTTCTGCTCTCTGCAGGCTGGACACTGCTGAAGAGCGATCCTGTTCCACCTCCTCATCTCTACTGAATTATTCTTCTTTTAAATAATTAATGAGCCAATGATTTTTAAATCCTACCAAAAATAGAAAGTATGCAAATGCACTGTAATTGAACCTAAAAGTCATTGCCACTCACCATTAATCAAACCTGCCATCTCAACCAAGCCCCAGCACTCCCCACCAGAAGCGAGGGTGCTCTGAGGATCCGCATTCCACGGTGCTCCCCAGATCCTGGAGCTCTGGGCTGGGGAGGAGAGCATGCTGGGTAAACCCCAGCTCCAGAACCTGCTCCGTGACTCCTGCACTCCAGTTGACGGAACATGGGACCCCTGCCCCCACTGGCATTGCTCTGTGAAGCCGTCCAGAGCTCAGCTGTCCAGGGTCCAGAGCTCAGCTGTCCAGGGACGTGAGGCGAGGTCTTTCCAGCCCCGCATGAGGTTCGAGGACTAGGAGTGGGGGGTGGGGACGTGGGGACGTGGGTCCCTGTCCCTCACCTGCTGAGACTTGACCTGTCCTGCAGGAGGCGGCCCTCCTTTCTCGTCCATTCTCCGTCCTGCCTTGTGTTTGTGACCATCCGTTGTGGGGTCCACTGTGACTGATGTCCCTCAAAGCATCTTGTAAATCCTCGGGTCTCCTGGAAGACAGTTGCCAATTTCATGCAAGTGTCACCTGTCATTTTTATGGTGCCGAAGTTGCAGAATTCTGCCCCTTATTAAAACCTAAATGGCATTTTTTTCATGTTGTAATCAAGGTACTTACAATAGTACTTACCCTTCATAGGGCCTTAAAGTTGCAAGTTAGTGGGTCTTCAAGGACAAATCTTTGTTTCTTATTTCTGTAGCACAAGGGAAGTGAATTTCACTTTTTTAAACTTGAGAGCAAGCTTCTGAATAGATTGGGTCCACAGAACTTACCGAGGGGACTATCTCCCATCGTGCCAGGAGGTCTTGGATAGTCACCACTGCAGCCTGAGAGCCTCAGGGGGCGGGGGGGGTCTCCTGGCTGCAGGGCCCCCTCCCCGCCCTGAACACTCAGCAAGAGAACGTAGCTCACCTTCCACTGCGTGTAATCGGCTCTGTGGAATGAATCTGTTCCATTACCGCTGCCTGAAGCATGTCACGTCTTCATCACGGGGTGAGGTGTCAGGAATTAATCACTAGGCTAGTTTAGGGAAAATCTGCTTAAACATGGCTTTCACTATCAGAATAATCAATCATAAAATGTCTTAAACGTCAAAATGGAATTTTTGTTTGGTATACTAAATTGTACATTACAATTTCTAGTTAAATTAAATTATTGGCTTGTCTAGTATATTTCTGCTTCAAAATAAATATATTTGATAAAATTGGCATGAACTGTAATAATATTCTTACTCAGATATGCCTTGTTGGAGCCAGTTCTTTGAGTGTAAGTTTTCTCCAACCCGAAATCCATTTTTTGCCTTTATCTATTGGTCAACTTTAAAATATGCGTTCTCATTTTAAATTCTTAGCCAAGAAGATTTTCACAAGATTTACTTAGTTATTTGTGGAGTTTTTTTAAGTTATCTATATAGTAAATAGGTTTTTTACAACTCATTCTTTCCCATTTGCTGCTCTAAAACAAGTGTTCCTGTAAACTCATGCAAGGACACCAGGCCCGTAAGATCCCACACGCAAGCTGGCCCCGGCACCGACCCTGTCTTGCAGGGGTTTGTGAAGCACACCGGCACGTCACAAATCGGGGTCTATAACTGAGGAGCTCCCATGTGTTGTCTGCTGAGTGCACTTGAGCGTGGAGTCCCTTTTCCTCAGTGCCTGTCAACCTTAGAACGCACGGCGTGGCTTGTCTGCTCTGTCTCTGCGGCGCACACGCTAAGGTATGTGTGTTGCTACCGAGGACACAGGCCTCTCTGCCTGTGGGCGGGGCCTGGGGCTGGGTCCACGCTGCTGACCCTTCAGTGCTGGGGTCGCACTCTGCTTCCTTTTCTCCTCCTACCGCAATCAGGAAGTGTTTAGTGAACGTGTATAGTGGAAAGCTATAAGCTACGGACGCTGAAGGGCCTGCCCCCACTGCCTGAAAAGTCACCAGTCCCAGCCTCGAGCATCCTAGGATTTGGATCAGCCTCAGATTCCATCCCGCGGCTACGGCCAAATGCCCTTGTCTCTATCATTGCTACTGTAAACAGGTGTTTCTCAAGGCCTGTGACAAGGGAAAATGCAACAGAACTGGAGCAAAGGTGCAGGCCCGGACCCACGGGCGCAGGGGCAGGACGCACGGGGTCACGGCGAACTGGGCGGCATGCGCCAGCCCCACCGACCCCGTAGGCAGAGCTTCGCAGAGGCTGTGACCAGACCAGGGTGGCGGACTGCCTGGAAATACGTATTTTTAATGTTAACAGTGGCGTTTCCAATTTTGATTTGAAGCCATTTACGTTAGTGAGTAACACTAGGACCCCAGGAGTGTCCGGCGCCCGTGCTGACGTCCTGAGGGCAGTCCAAGCTGGAGGAGGAGGGCAGGTCCGCCGGCCTCAGTGCACGCGCCACACAGGCGCCTGCTCCTACAGAGGTCTGCTCCTACAGAGGGGTCTGAGGGCCCGCCTGCCCCCAGCCCCTGTGTCAGGGCCCAGGGGGGTTGGGTGGGGGCGGCCGCCCTCCCTCCTTGCATCTGGAGCTGTTTGCTAGGGCCTGGCGGTCAGGGCCCTGACGAGCAGCCCCACGATCAGTGCGGCCAGCGCTGCCCCCAGAGCAGCCCCCCGGCGCAGGGCCAGCTGTTTGGCTGGCAGCCTGCTGGCAGGGGCTGCAAGGGCCTGGGCTGCTTCCGGAGTCCTGAAGAGGTCCAGCTGGCACCCGGGCCTGGAGTATGTCGTCAGGGTCACACCCAGGCAGCCACCCGAAGCCACTGCAGAGGCACAGAGGCACGAGCTCAGCCACACAGCCGCACTCAGCAGCCCAGCTGTGTGACCCTCGGTGGACGCCGCGCCTCATGCTGGGAAAGGCCTTCCTTTTCCCCACAGCAGGCTCAGAGGAGGGGGTGCCATGGGAAGGCACCCTAACTGTCAGTCTGGTGAACAGATAAAGCGATCAGTGAGGAAGGGATCTGCCTGGTGATGCATCGAAGGCAGCCTTCACCCGTGGCTCCAGAGCATGTGTTAACTGTTCGGTCCATCTGCCGCCCACGTTCCCTCGCGACAGTTTAAGCTCCCAGAGAGTCAGCGGGCCCCTTACTTCATGGGCCAGGGCACAGCCGGTGACGAGAGGAGGTCACTGAGATGACTGAGGGCCTTGGGGCAGCAGAGCCCTGGGCCCGGCCAGCAGTTGATCACCAAGGCCCTGGGTCTACACCAGAGGTGCCTGTCTGATTAGCATGGACATCACTGTCATGCGCAGAGGAAGAAAGGCAGCTTCGGGCTCGCATGGTTCAGGACAGCCAGGGGCAATGTCAGAACCCGGCAGAGGTGTTACCTGAAGACACGACAGCTTTCTCGGGCCCAGGCCCGGGCGCCGTGCTCTCAGTGCTCGGCGGCGGCAGCCCCACGTGCTTCTGAGCCTAAAGGAGGAAGAGCATGTTTGGTTTAGCCAGCCGCCTCCCGTCCAGCCCTGGCCGCAGCCACTGCCTGTGAAGCCCTGCAGGCTAACACAGGTCATGTCCACACACGGGCAGCCTCGGATGCTCCAGGCCACCGCACAAAGGCGCACGTCACAATACAGCAAGTCACGTGCATTTCCGGTTTCCCAGGGCATCTTGAAGTTAGGTTTGCTCCATCCCGTGTTCTGTTAAGTGTGCAACAGCATTGTGTCTAAAAAGCATTGTATGTGCCTTTGTTAAAAAATACTTGACTGCTAAGAACCCTAACCATCACTGGGCCTTCAGTGGGAGGTACGTTTTTGCAATAGTAACGTCAGAGATCCGCGATCACACATAGCCATAAAGGGCGCAGCGATACTGGAAAAGCCTGAAGTGTCGTGAGAATCAGCAAAATGCGACACAGACGGGAAATGAGCTGACGTGTTGAGGAAGTGGCACCGCAGACTTGCCTAACACAGGGTCGCGACAAACCTCCAGTTTACAAACAGTGCGGCATCTGTGGAGCAATACAAGGTCTGCCTGTGTTCCCAGCGGGCCTCACGCTGGTGCTGTTTTAAATCTGCGTCTATCCGTTGTCTCAGATGCCAAGAGGGCTTGATCCACATGCGAGGGCAAAACCATCCCCTGCGACTTGGAGTCTAAGAACCCCCTTCAGGCTCAGCCTTGAGACTGGGCTGTGCCCTTTTTGTGCCCGGGAAGCAAACACCAGCCTGCCCTGCTTGAAAAGTTCTTCCGAGAGGATGGTGGACAGGGTGGCATCGTCACATCTTCCAGTCAGGGCGCACCCTTGGGGCTCACCTGCGTTCAGACGAGTATGACGGAGCCCCTTGCCTGCTTGGTCTTTACCGGCAGGCGTGGCCAAGGACAGTGTCTGGTGGGGTTTCTCTTTGTAACTAGAGGGTGTTCCTCTTGACACTGGCAGCGTCTGGGGTCCAGCCCCTCTGTGACTCCCCCACACCCCCACCTCCAACCGCAGGTCTCTGCCGGGGCCCCAGGCCTTCTGGGGAGCGGCCTCTCACCTCCTCTGCAGCCTGCTTCCAGTCCATCCGGGCAGCATAGGTGACGAAGGCGGCTGCGGCCAGGAGGACACAGACCAGCATGCCCAGCCAGAGGCCTGCAGGACAAGGTGACAATGGCAGTGTCCAGCGACCACTTGGCCTCGCCCCCTCCCTGCACGCCACTTACCGGTGATTCCCATCCCGGCCACGAAGGTCAGCACGATGCCCAGTGGGAGGCCGATAACGTAGTACATGACAGCGTTCACGATGGCCCCGAAGGCCTGCCTGCCTGTTCCCCGCAAGACCCCGCCGTAGACACACTGTGGGGGATGCAGACGGGGCAAGGGGTTGGTGACAATGAGACTGATGGGGGTCTCGCCGCCGGGCCTCATTCGCGCTCGTGGCGCTGGAACTGGGCCATGCCCTCGTCCCCCTTCCCTCCGAGGGGCTGGGGCCGGGCCCACTTGCCCAGCTACACAAGAGCGGCCCCGGAGCCCCGTCTGGGAGGGAGGTGAGGCTGGGGGCCACCCTCCGGCCGGGAACTCGGACAACCTTCACAGAGTGCGCGTGCTGCTCGCCCGCAGCCGCTGCAGCAAGTTACGGCAAACCAGCGGCTTCAGACAACACACGTGTATGACTTCACAGTCCTGAGACGAGAAGGCTGAAGGGGGCTCCCTGCGCTAAAGGTTCCTCCTGGAGGCCCCCGGGGAATCTGCTCCTCGGCCTCTTCCAGCTTCTGGAGCTGCCAGTTCCTGGCTTGTGGGCCCCAAGCAGCAAAGGCATTGCTCTGAACCCTTGATTCTGTCATCACAGCCCCCCACTGCCTCCCCCTCACTTCTCAGGACCCTTGTGCATACACTGGGCCACCTGGATGATCCAGGACCGCCTTAAACTGGCCCTTAGGGTTCACAAAGTCACCTCTCATCTCTGTGGCCCACTGTTGCCATAGCAACAAACCCCTAATAAATTCCTTTCCTGTTCTCAAAAAAAAAAAAAAAAAAAAAAGCAGGGCCAGACTCTGAATGTGCCCCAGCCCACACCTGGATCCTTCGGCAGAAGATGGAAGCCCTACCAGCTGTCAGGGTGCCTGAACATAACTCCCAGTAATCAGCTGAGCACTGAGCTATGCAGACCTAGGGGTGGCCCCATAGGAAGCTACGTTTAAAAATAAAAACAAGAAAAAAAGCAAAATACAAAACGGGCAGAGACAGCAGCTGCAGTCTGCGGAGGAGGCAGGATTCACAGAAACAGTCCACGCGAGTCACTGAACAAAGCAGCAGCCCTTGGGGAAGGGGTGCTCTCAGGGCGGGCCTGTCCTGGGTCACAGCCAGGTCTCAGCACGTTCAGGAAGACCGACTTCATCCAAAATGCGCTCTCTGACCACAACAGAGTTAGACTGGAGAAGCCTACCAGAAAGGAATCCAGGAACACTCCAACATTTGGACATTGAACAGCACTCTAAACCCACGAGTCAAAAAATAAATCACAAGAGAAAGTTTAAATGTCTCGAATGGAAAAACGTGTCAAAATTTAGTATACATAGCTAAAGCAATCCTCAGAGGGAAATGTGTAGCTTTACACGCCTGCACTAGGAAAGAAGGACGGACTTGGCTCAGCAGCCTCGCATTCCACCCTAGGAAACCAGGCGAACAGAGCAAACTACTAAATAAAGCAGCTGGCGGGTGAGAGTGGTGGTCACGGTGACAGCGGTGGACACAGACAACAGGGAACAACAAAGGAAGCCCAGGAGACCAAAAGATCCCGGTCTTTGGTAAGAGCCGCGA